GTTTTTCAATAGAACTAGAAACCAAGCACACGATCGCTGCTATGTCGCTCAATTCACTCGAGAAATATCAAAACCAAATGTCAAAACAACAAAAAAACTATTTTTTGCGGTCATTTTTGCTTTCACGACAATGTTTTTTTTTTTTAGCAGAGTTATAAGAAGATACTTGCGTCTTAACGGTTTATTAGACGAAACAATCCTCGATCTAAAAGACAGCATATTAGTGCCAGATACGTTAAAACATCACGAAGATAGAGCTACGTTTCCAAAGGAATTGAATGGACGACAAAAGGTCATTATTTAGGGCGCGCTGGAGGCACACAAGAGGGGACCTCGCGGCCACGGTATAGTTGTGGGCCGCACAGAGAGTCGCGGCCCGCGTCTCTCTGGGATTTGGAGGTTCGTGTGGTATATAGCTTCGAAGGCGTGCAATATCCCTCACGGCATGTTTGAGTTTCGGTTTTCACTGGAGGACTCGATTAGAAATACAGACCTTGTCAAGGATAGAGCACTATATAGCTATATAGTGCTCTAGTCAAGGAAGCGTACATATTAGGCTATTCCCATCTCAAGTGAATGTCGTTCTTTCGCTCGCTTAGTTCGTCAGCGGTGTCGCTACTGCCGAAGTTGCCGAGCGCGCGCTCTCGTGAAGCGGTCGCCAATGGCTATCAAGAAGCCGCTTTGCTCAGCCAATAAAAAAATAAAACATTCTTTTCGCGTTTTTTTTTTTTTTTTTTTTTTTGGTTTCAGACGCCGCCGGTTCTGCTCCATGGAATAGTTTCGCATTAAAAACGATAAAAAAAAAAAAAATTGCATGGTTTACAACTTTCTCTTGGTGAAAGCAGTCTTCCTTACACGCGTTCGTTGACAGTTGTGGAACGCTTAATCTCGTTCGCTAACATGACTGATTGCCCTCGGCAGCGGCTGGCTGACGACCTATTTAGAAAGCTCCTTCTCATTAAATGCAGTCGAGTGTAGCAGAAAAGTCCTAAATTTCCTTTTGTTTGTTATTGCTTCCACATGGAAAGATAAAATATGTTGCACATAGTTGTTTCATTTCCGTTTTACAAATAAGAACCGTTTTGCCGGTCATACGAGAGTTCACACCACGAAAAGAGTATTAGTGGCACGGCAAAATGGATTCCTGTATTTGCATTTAGAAACTTTAACATTTTTAAAATGTGTTTCTTATACATATATCGCGATGCTTTTGTACGGATCTATTTCAGTATCGGTATTTTAGCTGTCTTCGTCATCTATCCCGGTATATTTGTATTTCCACACACATTTTAGAGTATCTCTGCCCGTCCCTGCTTCCACGTGCCCCGGTGGGGGCCAGTGCTGGTCACAGATAACACGCGAGTGCCGAGTCAGCGTTCGTCGGGGAGTCGTGTTCATAATTAATGCGCTGCACGAAGTAGTTCTTTCGAGGTTTGGTTGTCGAAAGAAGAAGCGATTCTTTTGGCGTTTGAAACGTGAACGTCTTCATAAAATAGCATAAGACTAACCTAAGATGCATCTACAACATATATACATCCTAACTAAACACGCGATAGAAAAAAATTAGTAACTTTCTGCAAATATCTGGACCTATTTTTTTCTTTCTTTCTTATTACGGTTTTTGAGAAGATTGGACGGGGACAACCAAAAACGTCGGGTTATTGCAACGTTCAGTCAGTCTTGACGTCACGGTGTTCGGTCGTGACGTTTTAGCGCAAAGACGTGACGTCATAGCTCTTAGTTGTGCCGACGCGGCACGAGGCCTTACCTTACCACCGCGTACATGCACCGACGCGCGAAAGTGAACAACGGGCCACCGAGGAAAGGGTCGTTGGTCGGTGCCTGTGCGTTTCGGACCGAGTATAGCCGACCTGTAATTTTCGGAGTGTCGTCCTTGAGTCTGCTTCGCGTCCCTGCACAGATTACACAGGCGTAACGTCCGGTGTGCTCCTTAACTATAACAAAAAAAAAAAAAAGAGAAACGAAATATTTTTATACACGTTTCCAGCACTTATAAGTTATCACCCAGGCGAAAAATGCACAGTCACTGGGCGTTGTCCGACATCCGAAACCCCGGTTATTGGTCCTCCCTCTTAGCCAACCAAAAAACCGCGTACGTACAAAAAAACAAAACAAAGCAACATTTTGATTTTTTTTCTTATCCCTTTCAGGGCTACACGAAACGGATCATTGAAATGAAGTAATGATCCCACGTGTGACGCGAGTGCGATGAAAGCTCTTGGGCAAGTGGAGTTGCCGGGCTCGTCGCAGAGACGCAACCGTGTCGTCAGCCCTGGAAACGATTAGTCCGACTGCAGCGTTTTCCTGGAGCTTTGCAGCTTGCCCGTTCGTGGGAACATTACTCGAAATCGTGGAAACGCTGCTTTCCCTTTTTTTTTTTTTTTTTTTTTCGTTTTGTTTTCTCTTTTGTGTGGTATGTTTCAGCCAGCCGCGATGTCTCGCCGGCCGAGCTGTATTTAGTTATCGGTGAGTACTCCCGTGCCTGTCGCGGCTTCAGGTGTAGCGCTGCTGCTAGCGTTGAATTCAGGCGTTTTTTTTTTCGTTTTTTTTTTCATGTGTTTTTACGTGGAAAGCGTGCTTCGGGTCTTTCATAGATATGTACAGTCATGGTCAAAAACAAAAACTGCGGCATCGAACGAACTAAATACATTTCATTTTCGACAACTACGCGCGCCAGACGATCTCATCCATTAAATGTTGTTCCTTTCCAGTGCCATAAATTGTTTTAAAAAATCGTTTTTTCCTTCTCTTTCGAAAACTGTCGATGACTGGAATGAAATCGACGGACTGATACGTATTCTTTCTAGTGTTGATTTTATTAGCGTAATTAGCAATCTCTCTTTCCCTTAATGCATCCTGTTTTTCTGCGTTGTTTCGTTCATGCATTTCTATCTTCCACTCCTGCAATGACCTCGTATGAGGTCGCAGTACGTATAAATAAATGAATAAGTAGAAACAGCAAAGCGCGTACCTTCCTGAGCATGCAGAACCATAGCCTCCTCTATACGGAGATGGGGCAGAACCTTCTGGCGGAACTTAGTGGCGGTTCTCCGGCGAGATTATTATCGAATCTTTCCCGCAATGGCATGATCTTCACTCTTGGTGACACGTTGCTCTTCATCGGAAGGAAACGAGAGCTCGCAAAATTTGTCATTGTCATCTGCGGTGCATGTGATCTCACTGCGTGTCTTCTGTCAGTCAACGAAGGTCGTCTTTTATTGCAATATAATGATTGCATTGATGGCGCACAGGCTACAGTGCGAGTGGATTGCTGGAGAACGACGATCGCTTCCAAACGGAATTGAACGGCTTCAATGGAATGACTCAGCGGAATCTGTCCATGAAGTACGCAGCTGCTGCGGCTGCACTATCCGTCGCCGCGGTGCAATTGAGTTCCAGTTCGGAGAGCAAGCTCGCCTGCTTCTTGCACTGGGGATGCGATCATGTCAGAACGCCGAGCTCTGATTGGCTGATTGAAAAAAATAAAATGAAATTGTAGGTAAACCTTAAGGTATTTAGCATTGAAGTCTTCCCACTATCCTTTCAATCGCCTTTTTGACATTACCGCGACTCCTGCGCTAGTAGCAGACGACTCGCCCTCCGCATAAAGGAGCTGCATCATTCTCGAAGCCGACTACTCAAGAGCACAGCATGAATGGACCGCCCTTGGCGGTGAGTCACAAAGATATTTGGTTGCCGCTCTGTTCGTACTTGTTTTTACCATGTCTCTACGTACCGCGGCGAAGGGTGCAAGCCCGAACTCATAGCTTAGGCATGTGCTACTGCCCCTTCATCTCCTCCGTGTATGGTTGTGTATGTACTTGTGCGGCGCATTCTTTAAATCGAGAGTCTGGTTATCGAACACCATTTCATTTTCTCATGATTGATCGGATCGATCAAGAATGAGAAAATGAAATGGTCCCAGAAAGGGACTATGTCCCGTCCCTGACCATCACATGTGGATCATCCCCCAGTCCTCGAGCCTCCGTTTGGAGCACGTCAGGCAACTTTGTTCTTTTTTGAACCCCAGGTCCTCGGGGCTTGCTCAATGCCGGTGCCGGACACCGAGGTAGCACATGCGGTCTCCTCCGCATCGCCACATGCACTGCAGAGCGTCTCCGTCACTTTGATGGCGTCAACAACGACACGGGCAGAAGGAGCTCCCTTCTTACCAGGATCCTCCTTTGTGCCTCCTGGATTTACTCAGGCGTCGCTTTTCTTCTCCCCGAACATTATAAAAGATTCACCTGTCACTCAAAATTCTTACAAAGGAGCTTCCATCTCCTTTTCTTACATGATGGTCAAAAGTCTGTCTCGAATGAGAGGGTAATCGACCGCCATCTATCGGTATAGTACGCTACGCATAATGTTTTCATCGCGTACTTGAAATAATTCCGATAATAATACAAAAAGATCATTTCCCATAGTCAGTGCGTGAGTAATGCTTTTAATGATCAGCACGTTAATGAAAGACCTAGTATTAGTTTTAGTAATAAAATATTTATTTGTCGCTGCTTAGGACGTCGGTATATTTTCGGCGGAGTTCTTCAGGGGTTTCACGTTTAGCAAAATAAGTAAAAACCAAAAGCATTTAAAATACGATTTATCCAAACTTCAAATTCCGCGCGCCCAGGCTCACAAGCTCCACGCACTCGCGCTCGCAGGCACTCGCGTGCAAAGTAGCGCCACCCTTTGGCAACCAGCGATACTGATGATTTTTGCCGCCCCGCGGACCGCGGCTTCGCTTCCGTGAAAACTTCCGTGAAAACGTTGCAAAGCGAAAATAGAAAACGTCAGACTTTGTTTTACATGCGCTTCTTTTTAAATTTATAAAAACGTATTTCTAGATTTCAACTAGACTAGTAATAATAACTTATTTTGTTTAACATTGCACCGCCACAGTGATCACCAAACAAACTTAGGCTAGATGGCGCAAGCTACCGCCCGTTTCAGAGGGTATAGTCATTATTATTTATTATCTATCCATCTATTTAGCCAATATGGCGGTGCCCACGCTTCGCCTTCTGTCCGCGTCTGTACGAATGCTGTCACGAGCGTTTCCGTTTGCGAGAGGCTGCGCGACGTATTCGAGACACGTCTAATACACGAGTTAATCGGGTGCAGTAGAAAATTTACGTAGATAGAGAGGTCCCATACAGAAAGTTCTCCCGTTACACGTACGGCATGGGGAAAACGAAACCATTCAAGCCGGGTGCTTCGAGGGAGTCCCTGCTTCAACTTGACAGAGAGGTGAGATCTCGCCGCCAGTTACAAGCGGTTCTGAATAAATACAACCTGCGATCGATCGGTGCACGTTTATTCTTATAGGAACTCGTCAACTGGGTGCAACAGTTGGACGCACACGTGAAACAACTTCAAAACGTCGTAGCAAAGAACACCGCCACCACCCCTGCACCCATCAGGAAAGAAAAGCCGTTCGATTTTTCTCGGTAAGCCTTTTGACAAAGATGTCGTTGCGTTTCCGCTTGTTCTCTCCTTCGTTTCTCAGGTTTTACAACATCGTATTCTAGATCTTTTGATTTCGGAGCTTAGCTGTAATTTCTGGCTTGCTTGACCCTCAGCTTTGCCCATGCTCAAAGTATTCGTGTCGCGGTGGTACAGGGTGAGCTCGCTGCCAACACGTATTTAACAACAATGGACATAGCCCCGGCAGTCATTGCGTAATATCTGCGTGGTTGCATAATCTCGATGAAGTATATCTGACAGAACCATAATATCTCGCGCTGTCTAAACTTGGTTCTGAAGTAGACAAGATAAAGCCCGGCATAGACCAGAGGCAAATTACACGCTCTGTGACATTACCCGTTACCCATACTTAGGCTTCGAGTTACGACAATATTTCTGTTTGGATGCATGTCAGTTTCATAGGTTCTTGTCAGTTATACGTTTGGGGGCCTCACATTTGCAGCCCACACAGCGTCGCACTTCCGTGCATTCCTTTTCTTCGTGGTTTCCCAGGTTCAAGAAGCGGCACGTGGCTCTACGCTTCCTCTACCTCGGTTGGAACTACGACGGCTACGTAGTGCAAGAGGACACGGCCAACACGGTCGAGGCGGCCCTCTTCCAGGCGCTGCAGAGAACCCGGCTGCTGGACCAGCGTGAGACGTCCAACTATCACCGCTGTGGACGCACGGACAAGGGCGTCTCTGCCTTCAGCCAGGTCTGTGGGAGGCATGGGTTCACAAACTGAGCTCTTGAGAACAGTTTCCGAAAGTACGGTAATGGGTTCCTCGAGCATTTCCTCGACCGTTCCTATTCCTAAGCAAAGTGTTTCTTTAGTTTAAAGGCCGAGCTACAGAATTGTCTTGTTACGGGCTGAAAATCGGTACACAGTTTCCTTTTCTCCATTCCCTCTCGCACTCTTCTCTCCTCCTCTTCCCGTGGGAGTAGATACATTCGAAATAGGGGGCTTTCCCCTTTCTCAAATGGAAAGGAGGAATTGAGGGGCGGTTCCCTCCTTTCGGGTTGCTTGTCGGTCATTAAGTGAAATTTTTGTTAATTTGAGTCGCCCACTGATGCGCAACTGTGTGCCAAACACTCTCTAGTATGTGCATCATTGTTCAGAGGGTCTAGTATTGGCTTATGCACCACGTTTTTGCACCATTGTTGAGGTCGGGAAGGGTTCCTCGGCTATCAGTCGAGAGAGGTGAAGGTTCCTTCAGATCGAAAAGATTGAGAAACCTTTCACTAGACCCTAGAGCAGGGGTGGCCAGGCTGACTCGGCCTAAGAGCTGCAAACAAAACCACGAAACTTCCAAGAGCCGCAGAGGGGAGGGGGGGGGGGGGGATTTTGTCCAAAGCAATAAACGAATCTCGAACTACTTTCAATCTATCCGAGTCAAAAGCAGTCCAACTGTACTTAAGGTAGCAGTAGCTCAAGACTACCACCTCTTTTTGGGGAAGTGCTCGTGTGACCGGGAGGGTGGCGGGGGGAAGGGGGGGTGGTAGGAGAGGGAGCCGCGAGCCGCACTTCAACCCGCGAAAAGCCGCATGCGGCTCGCGAGCCGCAGCTTGGCCACCTCTGCTCTAGAGTAACCACACATGCTCTGTTTGTGGAGCAGAGCGGTGCAATGGTCTGCTTTTTGCGATCAAAAGTCAGCACTACCTCAGCAGTGCAATGGCGATAAGGTGAAAGTGAACATATGTGCGCTACACAGCGTGCATTCATCAGCTTGTCCTTAGATATTTTTTTAGCATGTGACCCCTCTTCTGCCAATGAGGAGTTGGTGGCAAAAGGAAAAGCAATGCAAAACACTCTCTCCATCATTTAGTTACTCTGGAAAACACCACCTTCCATCCACCTTGAGACAGTGTCGTCTGCCATAGTAACCCACAGATGTAGAGTGGCCCAGAGTGTTAGAGTTGTTCAGTGTTCAGCGGAAACATGCTGCCTCCCGCTGAACACAATCAAAGCCTTGATCATGTTTTTTTTTAACGTTTCTTACCTGCTCATGCCACATCTAAAAGCTCTCAATAACCGGCCCCGCCACTGATTGGGTATTCGTAAGCGACGGTTCTCCTTTATTAAGTAGTTTTTGCTCCTGCTTTCTGGTTTTATGGTTTTTTAGACATGTTATTGAATGTTAGTGTTTGTCACTCTGTGAAAAAATGTTCTAATTTCAAATAATACTCCACTGCAGGTCATTTCTATCGACCTGCGCTCGAACCTGACTGAGGGACCTGGTGTGTTCTCACCGGACGGGTATCGGCCCAATGAAAAGTCGGGTAAGAAGTATGCTTGTTCGACACGTAACTTGCACTTGCTTGAGCTTGACCTCTTGGGTGGCTTGAAGAAGGAACGGCCCCATCAGCTCGTTCTATTCACTCTGTTATTTCAGTTGCGCGTTCGACGGAACTCGATTATGTCAAGATTCTCAACGGCGTTCTTCCACCGGACATCCGAGTTCTGGCGTGGGCTCCCGCGGAACCTTCGTTTAGTGCAAGGTGAGGCTCTCCCGCATGCGGTTTCAACTAAAAAATCGATGTTTACAACACTGGGGATGTAACCGCTTTCAGGTTTGACTGTCAGGCAAGGACTTATCGCTACTTCCTCCCAAAGGGGAACTTAGTTGTGCAGGTAAGTGACAGACTTTCTGGAAGGTTCCATGCTTTCAAAATGTGCCGATAACCCCTGAAAATTAACCCCCAAGCCGGTTTTGTCAAAATCTGGGAAAATCCCCGAAAGCACTTGAGTTGGAGATGTTTGGGAATGAGAAAAAAACACTTTATTGAAAGAGATCCTTAGCCACAGCTTTATTTTGCGTTGTCCCAGAACACGGCCCACACTATACAGTCTGTGAGAATTTTTTTCCTGGGAGCCATGCTCTTTATCTGATTTCCTTCTCTTATCATTATTGAGACGACTTGCAAGTGTTGGGTCATGTGCATGTTCCCTAGAGGTAGAGGCATGTTCCCTAGAGGTAGGGCCATGTTCCCTAAAGGTAGGGGCATGTTCCCCAGAGGTAGGGGCATCCTACGCCCGTGTATTGATTTCTTCGACATAAGCTCCGATGAGTGCCGATTTCCTGTCTGACACCAAAAAATTTACGCCGAAAAACACAGAATCCCTGCGCTAAAATAGACCCCCCATAAAAACACCCTTGAATCCGAAGAAAGAATAACCCACGGAAGCCCAGTTATGATGTAGCTTCATAGCAGACTTACTTTGCATCTTCTCTGATGCAAAGCTTTTTCTTTTCTTTTTTTGTGTGCGTGTCGTCTTTTGTTTGCATGTAGCCTTGCACACTGGTATTTTTGGCTATCCCTTTACGCTCTGGCCTCACGTTTTGCAGCGCATGCGGGAAGCGGCCAAACTCTTGGTAGGGGAGCACGACTTCCGTAACCTCTGCAAGATGGACGTCGGGAACGGGGTCACTAGATACGTGAGACGCATCCTCTCGACGGAGTTGTACGAGTGTACTGACAGGTAGGTCACTCTTCCTATTTGCCCATTGCAGCATCCATAAATGGGTGAATTACTTTTCAATTGTAATTAACTTAGAATTACTTTGCCAAAGAAGTAGCTAATTGCAATTAGAATGACTACTATATTAAAAGTAATTAATTACAACTAGGAACTACTCTTTAAAAGTAGCGCAACCACTCCTCAATTACTTCGCTTTGTGTGCCTCCTGATGCCAAAGACGTAATTTTGCGGTTGTTTTCTAAACCTAAATTCATTAAGGTTGAATAAGTTGGGTTCAATGATGGCGTTTCATACATTTGTATCATATTTTTTTAGTTCTATGATAGAGCATGACCATTTGGACTTCAATGTGTTTCACTTGAAAGATAGAAAAGAGCTGTTATATGTGACTAAATAAAACCCTAACATGCTTTTATTATATTTTTTTAAAAGTTGTAATTGTTTCTTCGCGCAACAAGGAATTTCCCTACCTGAATATGCTTCAGCATGTTGGAGGTGGCCAGTCTGTTGGTTGCATCAGCCTTCAGCAACAGCACGCAAAGCTTGCACTTTATCGTCACATTTTTTTTTCGGTGTTGCCCACCTGTTAAAAAATATTTTCATACGAAGGCCAGCCTCCAGGGCAGCTTTCCTTTTTCCATGATAGCACCACACAAGTACCCAGACAACCTCTCTCAGGGAGCCCCATCCTCCAACTAAAAGAAAACGCTTGTTACAAAAAACAAGCTCAACGACTTCCACCCCGACAGTCTGGGGCTGTGGCTTGTAAAGTTTCGGAGTCTCGTCCAATCGGGTCCCTAAAATATTAGAAGGATGGAGAAAATGAAAAAGAATGAAAACATGCAAAAAAAGCAATGAGGTCGTCGGTTTGATCTTATATGGGCAGCTGTGAACCTTATGAGGTAGTAAGCCATTCAGGACTGGACAGGCAGAACTGAAGTCTGATGAACACCCTGTTGTCTGGGGTTGCTTGTTGGATCCAGTGCAGTCCATTTTACAGTGACGCAGAGCATAGTGACGAGTTTTTAAAGAGCCCCGCCATGGTTGAAACAAAAAACATAACATACAGCAAAAATCTCTGACCTCGCTTTTAAGGTGTCATCCTTTTAGTTTAGTAAATAGAAGTGCGGCCGGTGGGTTGCCTTTCCTTAAATATTTCTTATAGCATCTACGGATGCTTTCCCACCCAAACTTGAGGTACGATGCAGGCCAGTGGCCTAGCCAGAGAAGAGGATTATAAAAATTCAGCCCCCCCCGCCCTTCCCCCCTTGCCGACCCTATAGTATAACGTAAAATCCTGTAAGGGTGCCCACCCAGAATGAGGAGATTAATGGTGAAAAACATGAGGTGAGGTATGTTTGGGAATGGGGCACTGAGAACTGATACTGCAGATTGCAGACACGGCGAATTTGCGTTTCACAATGCGATAAACACACGGGAATTCGTCATAAACTCCTGTGTCCCGGGAAGGGATACCGCAGACTGCAGATGCACTAGATTCATGTTTCACGGTATGATAAACATGTGGAAACCGTGATAAACGGATCCACCGTAATGTCCGCATCACTTCATGCGAACATCACGTGATGTCCGATGGGAATCGAGGGGTGTGGGCGATGTTTTGGAGTTTTTATATTAGGGATATTTAGCCAGAAAAACAGGATGGGCGATCTGTCGGGGGAGAGTGCCCTCACGGGCATTAACAGCACGTATGCATTTTGCGCCTCCCCCTCCCTCAAAAAAATTCCTGGCTACGCCACTCATGCGGGCCTCTTTGCGTGCACTGCAGCTTTGAAATTGGTTCAGCTGTACGTACGAGGTCGACCTGCAAGAGAATGAGCTTCGGCATGGCAAGGTGTAATTTTAATTCTAATTTAAGTTTTGCAATTAGTGCTGCTAAAACAAGTAATCAAATTTCAATTACTTTTGATAAAAAGAAATTAAATTACAAATACAATTACTTTTGGTTCAAACCAATAAATTATGAATACAAATTACTGAGAAAAGTAGTAGAATTAGAGTAATTCAATTACTATAGTTGAAATACTACCCAAGCTTAGCGGCATCACGGTTGGCAGCAGATGAGAACGATGTCGTCCGCTGTTTCAGCGGCGAGCCAGAAGGTGACGGTGGCAGCAGCGGATACCAGATGCTCCGCCTGGAGATAGTGGGACAAGCCTTCCTGTGGCACCAAGTTCGATGCATCGTCGCCATACTCCTGCTCGTCGGCCAGGGCTTGGAAGAACCAGAGGTAAGCTTGCACACGACGCGAGGCTGGCTCACACACGTGCTTTTGAGCGCAACCAACCGCAGCTCCTTGTGAACGCATACGATGAGAGAAAACACTGAAGCCATCTGTCGGGTAACCCTCGAATTTTGATCTGCGTATGACTAGACTGATGGTTTTGTGCTATTTACGAGGTCAAATCTGGTCGCTCGCAACGGTGGTCACTCGCACCATTGTCAAAGTTACTTTGGGCCCACGGCGAGAGAGTAAGGTGCAAAAAAAGAGAATATATGTGGATTGAGATGTGCGTTGCTTCGACACAAGTGGTTACAACGCGAACGGTCCGATGCTAATGTTTGAACTGCCTTTGAGGAGTTTTTGCCTCCTGTTACACAACTGGTGACTTACCCTTTCTTTTTGTCGCCTTGTCCCGGCTCGAAATTGCCACCAGGTGGTGTCCAAGTTACTGGATGTTGAGGCTCACCCGTGCAAGCCCCAGTATGGCATGGCCTCAGGTATGGACTTGGTGCTTGCGGAACCCTTCGTCACATCTAGAGTGCTTGTATTTCAGGGTTGTTACGGTAGGTCAGAACTGTAATGTCCTCCAAGTGGATCCAGTGGCCACATCCGACCATAATTACCGTAATCGAGGAAGTCGATCAATTAACCTGCAATGCCCTGTGAAAGTCGTTGCGTTGGCACCTGCTTGAGGAAGGGTTCACGTTTCCTCCTTGGACTTAATGGCACTAGATGAAGCGTGTCAAAGTAAAAAATGCAGTTTTACAACTTCCAGGCAACGCTAGTCTCTTCTCTTCCCGAAAACTCAAATGTAAGCCTGTTGCCCATGCAGAGACCTTAATTCCTCTGTAAAAATTGAACAATAATATTACTCAATAATTTATCCGAGAACCTTTTTTAATTTGTAAGTTCCTTATATATTTTGTTGCCTGTTGTTACGTTTGTAAGATTCTGACATTTTCCGAGTCCTGATTGGTTTTTCGCACCTTGTGCCAGAATATTGTTTTGCCTTTTGTTACATCATTTTCGAACATGTATTGTTCCTTACTTCCAATAGGTCCTCCTATAAACAAACGGTCGGCTTTCATATAGACGTCAAATATCTGAAGTATGCAGATGAATTAACCATACTGATTGAGTGGAAATAAAAGTTGGAAAGCTGTTAAAAAAAAAAAAACTAGGCAGAGCTGGGTTTCCCAATTTTGGGTCTCCTCATTACCGGCTAGGGATGTCGAGCCCGATTCCTGTGTCCTTTCGACACAGGAATCGGGTTTTCTTTCGATGATGTTTCCTGAGCAGCTCGCCTGCAAACTTTCCCTTCTTGCAATTCTTTATTCCCATTCAATCGGTGCGGTTCATTCATCTGCGTAGGTACTTCAAACTGTTTCCTCTTTGGAGACCAGGAAAAGACGACGATATTGATTTGTGATAGAGCTCCTCAAGTATGAGATAGATTGAGTGCATTGTAACATCCCCGCGCCGTTTCTGTCTTACAGAAATTCCCCTCGTCCTCTACGACTGTCAGTTCGAGGGCCTCGACTGGCGGTACGACGTTGCGGAACTTACCGCCGTGTCCAAGCACTTGCAGAAACTCTGGATGCACGAGCGAGTCAAGTGAGCCTCGTTTTCGGTTTACAACATCCGGGAATTTTACGAGGCGCTCACCTTTATTACACAATTTTAGCTTCATTCGAAAATTGCCCCTATAATAGGCCCTTTTTCCCCTATGATAGACCCTTTTGCCCCTACAATAGACCCTAAACTTTCCCCTATAATAGACCGTTTTTAAAAATCAATGCCATCCAGCGGCTCAAAAAAAAAAAAGTTTCACTTTCGATTAAGGACGATTTCTTTGGACATCATCACTTGCGCGCATCAGTGGCTGATGAAAATTGGCTCTTCAATCACATCATTATTCTTTCTTGATTTGTTTCACTTTCATTGTGTGAATGCGAGAACTGACCAGTACAAAGCGGTGACCCATAAGCCCCCCGATTAAGTTTTCCCCGTCAAAAGACTTTAGAGACAAACTGGTGCCAAGGGATTCATCGGACCATGCTCCGAAAAAAAGCCTATGCAGCCTTCGTGTCTAATTCGAGCGTCGCGCCGTACCAACGTCTCGAACAAAGGGGCCTCATACAGTCATACCTCGATGTAACAAACTTCTGTGTAACGAAACCCCCGATGTAACGAAGTACATAAGTTTTTCTAACCGCAAGTGTGTGCACGTCATGTATTTTTGACCTCCATGTATCGAAGTCCCGTTTGGCGAAATTTTGATGTAACGAAATTTCATGGACAATTTGTCACAAAATTTTGGTTCCCAAAGGAGATTTTGGGAAGCAGATGCGCTGAGATGGGCCCCCAATATAGCGCAAAGGGTGAAATGGGCCAAATCTGGCGAGTGTGGTGTACAGAAAGGCTACTAGAGGACACTAGAGCCGCCGCCGTTTTGTCCGTCGGCTTTGTTCGCGCTGCATAGTTTGTTTCGAGGCCTAACTAAAAGCATGCGTTTCTCATTGTCCTGGGCAATGGAGCCTTGAAGGCGATGGAGCCGTGCCTGACAACGTCGACCTTGATGACCTTCTATATGCCGACTCTGCTGTCAATGCGACGGCGGAGGTGACTGGCGAGGGGATAGCTAGCGATGTTCGTGGGAACTCGCAAGGCGGGGACGACATTGAGCCTGATGAGCAAGTCGCCTGCTATCTGCCCAGTAACCGTGAGGTGGTGGACGCGATCGATGTCTTGAGGCGGTTCGCGATAACACAGCAAGATGAATACGCAATGCAGGCTGTCTGGCTATGCGAACATCGTGTGATGCCAATAATAATGCCAAGAGTGGCCCAGAAAAAGGTGACGGACTACTTTCAACCGAAATAGACGCGTCCTCGGTGAGGTTTGTGCCCCCGAGAAACGTTTGTGGAAGCTTTCTTTAACGTTAGCCTCGATCTTCTATGTAGCGAAATTTCAGTGTAACGAAGTAAATTCCGTATTGTACCGACTTCGTTACATCGAAGTTTGACTGTATATTCTCCGCTTGGTGATACCTTCAACTTTTTCCTTCATTGGCATCGAGAAGGCCTCCATTAGTATGACACAGACATCGTACACAGTGATGACGATAGTGATTAAAGTTGCCATACTGAATCTCGAAAAGGGTCTATCATTCATTTTTTTTTCTAAGTCTAACTTCTCTTATTTGCTGTTTTAACTTTTTTTTTTTTTTTTTTTTTTTTTTATAGTTTTGAGCCAAAGTGCTGCCCACCCTACGGATTCTCAGCGTAAGGCCCAAAACCTGGCCGGGGTGTCCACGGTCTTTCGCGGGCTCGTAGTCTCCCATTCAGGGGCCAACTAAACGAGACCTCGGTCGCCCGTCAGAGATTTCCAGATCGGACTAAAATGATTCCTCGGTCTTTCGCTCGGTGGAACATACAGTGGAACCTCATTGATACACTCCCTGTTCTTGGGTTTTCCCGGCTTTTCTGTGTTCAAAGTGCCGGACCCGTTGAGCTCCCATAGGAATGCGCGTGTTAATTTCCTGCTTAGTGAGTTTGCTTTCCCGATTCTTTTGTCCAAAAAACTGCCGGCCAATTCGCATGAGGGACCAATTTGCGGTTTGGTTGATCATATGACGACATGGCCGCATATCGTTCACCTCCCAAGCGCATTCGCACGGAGGGGGAGACAAGGGACAGCGAGGATCTACCAAACCTCTCAACGACTGGACAGTGGCACCTGCGTCCAAGAGCCACTGCGACGCTTGTCGCAACAGTCGCGGTGCTATCGCATTAATACGAAAAATGATTGTTGTGTGCTGCTCTTACGTGCCACGCGAGACAGAAAACCGTGAGAGGCTTGGCACACAGTGCCACTCGCTACCTTTACTAACCCCTGGCATAACACAAGTGCGATCCTGCTAAAAAAGGTGAAAGTAGAAGCGACGGAGTTCCGGGCTTGCGAGGGGACATTCGCCCACGTCCTTGTCTCCACGCACTCGTGTGCGACACTCCATTACACCACAGCCGCAAAAAGGCCTTGCCCAACCTCTTTGGGTCTTGGTCTTGCCGGATGCGAGGCTGCATGGATGCACAGGACAGAGCTCAGTGTGCCAGATGAGTTTTGACAGTACCCTCTTGATGTGGATCTGGAGGAGCTTCGCACCTGCAGCGCATCAGCTGGGAACAGTTTCTGCAGCTTTCTTCATGCGTGGAACCAAGCATTGCACGACAAAATGAACCAGTGAATGGTTAAAACGGACAGAAGAAAACAATGTGCCATTTTTCTTTTGCTTGTCAAAAAAAGGTGTCGTGTTGCCAGACAAAATGCTTTTCGAGTCAACCCTCGCCAAAGGTCTGTGAAAAGTGCTGACCGAAAAAGCCGAGCACGTTTTTACTCGTGGACTCTTTACTTCAAACGAGTTTATTCTGGCAACAGATTTTTTTTTTTTTAATGAGCAACACTTTGTTGTGTGCTGGCTCGCATTTTTACGTGGTTCTTAGTTCCACACGTGAGAGATGCTGCAAGGACTTCACCCAGCTGATGCGCTGCAGGTTCTGGCCTTCCCCCAGTCTGTGTAAAGAAGCTTTTGTCAAAACTGGTCTATTACGCTGCAGTCTCGCCTGCATGTGCACTACAACCTACCACCAGCAAGACCTTTTCTGCGGTTTTGGTGTACTGAAGTGTTGTACACGAGTGTGCGGGTACAAACCGACGAAAACGTCAGCAAACGCCCCTCCGCAGGCCAAAAACCTTCGTTGCTTGCTCGCGTTTCAGTCGCCCAAAGCGTCAGGTGGAAATTACGAGCTCTTTCGGAACATATTCGAGTTCACACCGACAAACATTTACAATTTTTTTCCAGATATAGTTGAGATCACCCCTACAAACTTTCACAATGTTTATTTCAGTTCATACGTACAAATCTTTTCGAACTTTTTCCGAGCCAGTTTGAGTTAACACCTACGAAGGTTTGCGTGAAATGAATTGTTTCGCGACATTTGCTATCTGTCTCGTCTCTAGCACCTCTCCGAATGGCATTCTCGTTCAATACATTTTCTCTGATTGCACATTTTGTTTCAACAATCCTACGAAAAAATGTACGAACAAAGTTCTGTCGTAAATTGCCGAGGTTCATTTCAGTTTGTTCATTTGTCCGTATTCGTCAACCTTGCAGAAGTGAGATGATCCGGAGCATGTTGAAGGACATTGCCGGCCTGCCGTGCATGGCCGGCACGGAAGTCCTGTCGCAGTGCGACCCGTTGCTGTCGGGTCCGACGGCGAGAGTCTACAGACCACTCCTGCAGAGACCAGTGTGTGGTACGGCTCTTTCCTTGTATATATAAAGTTGACCATTCTTTAGTTGTACTTTCATAATCGTTGACGGCTTTTAAAGGGGTAGTGAAACGAAATTTTAGCGCCTATCTTGTTGCATAAATATGGGCTAGGGACAGGCACCATCTCGGAAATATAAATATTGCGCTGTAAAACACAGGAGAACTAATTTTAAACATAATTAAACGATTTCAAATTCTCATCTGGTAGATGGGGGGAAGTTCTCGTGACATCACTTGTGGCATAATAGCAGCGCCGTTCTGCAGCAATACGGCGTGCCGGCAGAATTCGCGTAGGCCTGAACGCGTTTGCAAAGCCTTGGCGGAGAAAGCCAAAGCGTAGTTGGCCACAGTGAGCTCTTTCTCGTTGCAGCTCTTTGCACGACACGACCCGAGCATGCTTCTGGCACGGCCGGTATTAGTTGCTGCGAGTCGCGAGCTGCGAGCCGACGTTAAAAAGGATATGTTTGAACTACAAGGGTGTCAGCAAGAGCCACGCAAATACCTGTTCACACTCGGAGCGGACACGCGCGTTTGATCGAAGTGCTGGATTCGCTCTGTTAGACCGCGTTTCGGTAAGCGCTTCTGGACCGATTTTTTACGATTGCAACTCGATACTGACATGACACTCGGCAAAGAAAGGTTAGACCGACATCGCGTAGCTCCCACGAACTGCTATAGCTCGACAGTGACGTAGCGTCGAGTCAGAATAAAAATGGCATACTAATAACAGAGTGTACATACCGAGTCGCGAAGGTAATCCGTATGGCGTTTATTTGAGCTCTATATCACACAAAACAAGGAGATAGAATCAATGAGAGTCCCTTTTCGACGACAGCGTTCGTCACCGCTGTCTCGGAAAACAAGGAGATCGAGATGACAAGGGGAAAATATTGACCTCTGAAATTTAGTTCAGGGATCAAACTACTCATCCGGTAAGGGTCCACAAGGGTCGCGCGGGCATATTCCATTCAGCAGGCCAGCCGGTCATAGACAGACGGTCTTGGCCAAGGACCGCCGGAGCAACGGTGCGCCGAGTCGATGTTGCTGCTAGGCCTACTATATTCTGCCGAGCTCGCTCGGTCGGCAGAATCGTGGCCGTTGTAGCTCTTCTCGTGTGTTTGTGGATCCTGCATTCTTGATCGTCGTGGTTTGTTTTAAGTACCCCTTCCTTTTTTCTTGCTGGTTGAAGTCGGGACGCACGAGAAGAGCACGTAGAAAAATAAATGTCCGTTGGTGGCCGATACCAAGTAACTGAGCGACGCTGTCGGCCTTGTTGATTTGATCGCAAAAAGTGCGTAAGACAGCTTCGGAGCTGTCGTAGGATTCTGTCGTAACCTGCGCAAAGGTTACGACAATTTCGTTTCGAGAGTACGGGTTTCCTCTCAAATTTGTCGTACGCACTTTTTTCGTCGTGAGTTCGCTTTGAGAATCTGGCCTCAGAGCTGGTTTTGTCAGTTCTGCCGTGGTTGCCGACTTACCGTGGTGCAGCGTACGTGCAGCCCTTGCACATCTCAAACGGCCACATTGTCACAGGTTGTAAATCGTCGACGCGCCACCAAGTGGCAACGCTCGTAACCACAACATTCACGCCGTAGCCTTTCCCGTCTGGCACAAGTGACGTCACGAATGCGCCCAATATCCCAAGACGCATCGCGCTCTCCGACTGCCGATTTTTGAGCGCGCGCCCAATCGGGCCCATTAGGGTGAAAAATATAGCCATCCGTTCGAAATACAAACGCACGATTACGATTTACGGATATCATTGATCATATTGAACCTATTTCTGACCATAATAGGTGTATTTCAAGTTTCGCTTCAGTATCCCTTTAAGTAATGCAGGGGGTTGCCTGCCACGATCACACTTCACGATTCATTTTTTTAAGTTCTTATTGGCTCACGCCGTGACCCGATGGACTGCAGTGCGATAAGGAGATGCTTGGGACAAGCAGCTCCTTCCGTTTCTTAACCCTTTAAAAGCCGGGTCTTTTCCCCAAACGTCGAACGCATATTTTGGTGCCATGCAGAAACAGAGTGGTGCGCTTTACGAAGTGTATTTATTCATCGAAGATGCACCAGTCTATGGGCTCAAAGTTAACGGATGTCTGGCATGCCTCCGACCCAAGACATTTTCCTCGAATTATACTTTCCGCTACATGGCACCATGCAAAGTGGCCCCCCCGACCTCGCACCCTGAAGTAATTCTTTTCGAGTGGCTTTAAGTGAAATTTTTCGTTGGGAACTGGGGCTTCCTTACTTAGTTTATTACTAGCTTCTATAGACCTCTGTGTTTGCCGTAAGCGTGAGGTTGAGCGGCACGGATTCGCCCTTCTGGAACAACGAAAGGGGCCAACCGAGAGAAGTCTCCTAAAGTTTTCACATGCCGTCAACGGGTGTTTTTTACGAGACAAAACGTTCCTCTACGTGTAAGAATAGAATTGACAGCCCAGTCGTGAGAGGGAGGGGGCGATTCGAAACTGAAACCTGCATGGGAGCGTGCCCGAGAACATTCGGGAGTGGCACTGCCGTCAACGACCGTAGCATTTATAAACTTGGCGTAGCAAAGTTGTCTTTCTTTCTGTCTGCAGACAGTCTGGAAGAGAGGGTCAGGCATTTCGCAAAGCGGCGGAAGATCGAGGCGTCCGATGGCCTGGACGAGGACGGAAGGGGAGCCGAGGTGGATCGTCGTCAGGGGCCAATGGATGTGGCCATGGATGCAGCTGTGGATGTGGCAAACAAAGACTGAGGTGTATAGAAAAAAGAAAAAAAACACAATCCACTCTACAGTTTATGCGATGTTACCATTTCTACTACCTTCACACCATACTGTTTCACCTTGTGACGGACTGCATGTGATGCCGTTTGAGCCGTTAAAGCCTATCCACCACTGCGCGAGTATCATGTGACCTTCAGGAGGGCACAGCAACATGCGGAACGTGTAGACGTACTATATGTTCCCAGAGCTAGATTGGCTGGGATAGCTCGTTGCATCCGTTGCAGTATATCACAAAGTGAAATGGAGTATAGTCAGCTTGTTTTCGAATGCCCACGTCCGATTGCAACTCGAGCGTGTTCATACGCAGGCAGCACCAAGCATTTTCATTTGGAATGGGGGAAGAAAAAAGTCAACACAGTGCTAACCTTCTAAAGAAATGTCAGTTTTTAACAGCTTGCCAACATTGTCACTTCACCCACGTTCACAATGTGTAGGCGCTCCTGCTTATACTTAATGTGGTTGTCTGCGAGTCATGTGCGCAATTGGGGAACAAGGTCGTGTGCTAACTGAGGCATGTCCTTGTCAGCTCGGCCCCAGGAGCAGCTCGAAGCACCTGATGCAAGAGCTTGCACTGCATAACCCAGGGATAATTACTGCATTCGGTTCCCACTCGCGCTCACTCCAGTTTCGGATGCACATTGTACCGGCGTGCATCTAATCATATGCGTACACTACGTGCCCACCAGGCCAATAGGCTGCCTCCCTTTCGTCGCCCGACCCGGCTCTCTCAGCATGGGTATGAGCGGGAGCATGATCACGCGGTTAAGGAGACGTGTAGAGTGCTTCACCTTAAAAAGCTGGTTTGTGCCATTAATCAGGGGACGGCATATTCACCAGAAATTTTATTAAACTAGAATTCGACAAGTACACATCAAGCTGCGAGAAAACCGTCTTCAACGTTCATCACGTGTCTCCATTCGCCTTCATGCATTGACAACCCCTCTCTGTAAGTGTCGGTCTACTTTAGTCTGTCGCATTCTTATCCAAGTTTTGATTCTGTACTCTCGATTCGTTTGCCTGAATTAAACAAAAAGCCGCAGTGAGATGCTGAACCGTGAAAGATATGTAGCGTGGCATGGAAAAGGACGATCCCTTCGTGTTCTGAAATCGAAACGTTGAAATGGCGTGGTTCGCCTTGTAACGTCTGTTTTGATATGATGCTGAAACAAGTATACGCTCGTGCTTTTTTCTTCAGCATGGCTTGCCGTGCTGAAAGCCCAGATCCTTTCTAGGGTTTGTGCATGTCACCTAGCACTCGGAACAATTAGTACTCTTGGACACAACCTGTTTTCGCCTTCGAATGGCAACTAGCGTAATGCACTAACAGCAACAGTAAACGGATGCAACGGGGGTTGATCAACAACAGTGCTTATTCTGGGAAGCTGTGTTTGGAATGCATCAACACGCCAGAAGTAACAACCTACGTAATGTAGTCGGCAAGAGCTGATCGGAACCCTTTTGGGGAAACAAACAAATCTCGCTCCGCTCGGGAAGCCCTAGCATATTTATGCTAAAAGGAAGCTCTCTTGCACATGGAAAGCTTGCCAGTACATTCGCTCATCTCGTTCGGGTGCGCACCTTGGCTCGAACTGGGGTTGCAATGAGATGATTGCTTGAATATGGAATTGCTAGTTTCACGACACAATCTATATGATGTCCTCCCTATGGCAACCCGCATAATCGAACCAATCGAAACAGGCTATGAGCAAAAAACAGATGATATGACTCCACTGAACATTACTTTGTTCATTATTGCGATTGGGGTCGCCATATCCAACTCAAGACAAGGAAAAGATCCATATCGGTTGATGGTGTTGGAAATCACGGCAGTGCAAGTTACCTTCTGTTTGGGAAACTTTAACACTACCTATATGTTTGTTAAGGTATGCTCTGCCGTACAATCGGCATGAACATGGCATCGGCACTTTTTCCTTTTACTTATGGTTGGTTCCCAAAGCGGGCACTTAGTACCAAGTGCCAGACTAGTAGTTTCGATAGCTTGATTCCAAGCGAAAAAAAGGAATCGCCGATCGCTTGCTCGTGTTATTGGTGCCGCACTCCGCATCATGATAAACTTCCCGAGCGACGTAGCTGATTGCTCTTTTGCGCGTACAGCATTTTGCATGGAGCGATCTTAACTGCATATATTATTCATGTTCTTTGCCCTCTGCACTCAAAAGAGAAACAGTTGTAACAAGCTTGCAAGGAGTTATGGTACGTATGTTTGAAATTCTTCTGTTCGCCATGACTCGTACATAAGACCCTGTCTCCTCTCTCACATCCTTGTCTTTTTTAACATGATCGCATCCTGATTGGTATTATGCTTACTCAACTAGCACTGATGAACCAGGTTTGAAGTGCTGTGATGGTGTTGCTTGTCGATGGGCGGTCGTTCTCGGCGGGCACGCAGCGGTCGAATCATGGAAAGGCTCTCTGACGCCTGTCTTCTAGGCCGGGAAGCTTGAGGCTGCAGAGTCTTTCGAAGTCTGCTGCCTCCTTTTCGAGGCTTTCGATGAGTGATCTTGTGGATTTCTTCTCGGCTGCGAGAGAGGGAAAGGTTGACAGGCGATGCAATTAGAGACTTCTGCCCTTGGCAACAAGACTGGACGGCATGGTTACAGAAGAGATCCGTGATTTCTGCCACGGGAATCTTTCTGCGGAAGTCTGATCAGCACACTGACGAAAAAAACGTCGTGGACTCTCCCATCCGTGGACTTCCACGTGAATGTGGGGAAATCCCAGCATCGGGATTTATTTACCTCCAGTGTTCCAGATTGGTTTGTTTGGTTTTGTTTAGCAGAGGCAGATCATGACCACAGAGGAGGGCTTGGGGATTGTTCCAGAAGGTTATCCTGGACTAATTACTAATGCTTCTTTTTAGTTTTATGCTGTTTGGACATTACCAGTGCGGACAACTGCTAACCTTGATGCGTGATCTCAGCGAGAGTTGTAGTAATATTTGTTTAAGTGACCCTGACCTCCAAGAGGGGCTGACCAAAGATCTTGGAAGTCAATTTCCTGAAAAAGCTATGTGTTTAAAAAAGAAAATATTAACTGCCTCTGTGACGTCGCAGGGTGCAATATCCGTCTTTTTTACATGCTGCTTACTTGTGCCATGCAAGCGCTTATGCTCTTATTACATGGGTACAGAGGCAGATTTTTTAAGTGTTCTTAAATACAATGCGTGCTGAGCATTGATTCTCGGGTTTTCGTACCTCTTGACAGTTTGGATTGTAGTCTGCAGTTTTCTTTCCTGAGGTTCTGTACAGTGTTTTCTTGCTTCTTCAACTGAAACATTGAAACACGATTTCAGAATGAAGAAGAGTAACGGCTGCAAGCATCCTACAAGCTCGTACACGGTTTCACTGTGTGCTCGCAGATAGCACTTGGATAGGATTTTCGTTCACTAACCAGGGCATGGAGCCGGAATATCTCATGCTGCAGTCTCGTGAGGCAGGTCACTTGGCACTGGTACGATTCCAGGCTTTTCTGTTTCCTAGAAAGTAATGGGTCATACCACAATCAAATCCAAGATAATAGTAAACGTTTTGTCAGTGACGGAATAAGGAGTTCAGGGGAGGCTCCTACCACCTCTTAAGCAGACCGAACACAGAGGAGCTCTGCTAAGATAGAAAGGGTTGAGAGGAGCTTTCCCCCAATCTCTCAACCAGTTGCAATGTAATGTTGCTAACACTCACCAACGTTCTACTTCCTCTTCCATTGCTGCCAACGCTTCAGGACGGTTCCACTCTGGTGTTCCGGGGAAAGACGGGTAGTGACCTGCACATACAATAGTGGCGTACGGCAAACGAATGATGAAACCGAGGTCTTTATGATGATGAACCTGCGCTAGGGTGGTCTCTGGCTCATGGCAGCCACGGATTGCAAACTCTAAGGACGCAGCATCCGTGAGGTCTTGTATGCACTCTCTTATCCTTGTGGCAATAAATTCGGAACCTACCACGAGGTGTCGCACATGTTTAGACTGTCTATGGATGCTCGACGTCCATGGTCTCCGTTGACAGTACATAGATTACGGATGTCCATAATTGGGAACTTTCGGATCTTCCAATCGCAGATCCTTTTCAAATAAGTAAGGCTCGAGCCTCGAACTATCCACGACTCTGCTTTCTTCTTCATGAACAATGTTGATGTCAACATACTCACCGTCAAAAGGAGGGAGGTAGCAGAACATGTTTCCCGCCTGGTTGGACTCGTCCAGTTCCCTGCACCCGGGAGAAGGCTCTTTTTAGGCGAGTAGTCTAGCAATCGTAGACTAGCAGGACGTCGCCAATTGGTTCAGTTCCGCTCACAGGAGTTTCATGCAAGACAGTGCCTCCTATTCCGCTTCAAGGAAATGGTGCACTTTGTTGTCCCAAGAGTGCTAATGACTGGCGACTGTCATTGACACTACAGCGTGCAAGTCCATCTGCTCATTGCATACTTCGCGTGCTCGCCCACGTGCTCTTGTTTTCCCCAACCTCAACCAGTGATGGCGTGCCCTTGACTGCATCGTCATCGCGCTTTCCCTGGGCATTCTCTCTGTGTACGCCTCGATTGGCATGCCCCTCCTTGCGATCCGACGCCCCAAAAACGCATTTAGGAAGACTTGCCCGCCGCATGCGGAGCGAAAGTTCGTCTGCTTCTTTTGCAGGGTGACGTCAGAACGCCGAGCTCTAGCTGATCGAAGGATAGTGCGCGTAGGCCTCAAAGCAAGCTGTCTCGAGTGCTCTGCGTTCTGACCCCACCACAGCGCCTGCAAGAGAAACAGACAAACTCGCGCTCCGCATTGCTGGATTTGTTTCTTTGGTGGCCTATGCTTACCGGAACCTACTGTTAAGCACGATGTCGTCGGTGAAGCCGTTCTTGAGGAAGAAACTGGCCGTCCCCGGAGATGACTTGACCACCAGAGCGTCGTAGGGTCCCACCACAGCGGGACTCTTGAGTTGCTGTCGGAAGAACATTCTAGATTGTACCTTGGAGCGCGACGCTTTGAAAGCGCATTATCCCAGTTTTTGTACCAAAAGGACTGCCACCAGGATGGTGTATGGGCCGTTTTGGGGCGTCGGTCCACATTTATGAACAACAGCAGCTTGTGACTGGAATCTGCTCAAATGCGTTAGTAGAGATTGACTCGCTAAAGTGACACCGATGCGATTGCAGTTACAGGCCCGAAAACAGAAGAACGAAATATTAAGCGATGAGGCACCAGAGCCCCCGTCGTTACCTTGAGGAGAAAGGTCCCGATGCCGTGTTTGCGGAACTTCCGCCGGACGGCCAGCAGAGACAGGAACACTGCTTTGGTGCCCGGAATCCTGAGAAAACAATAAGTTTCTTTCGTGACAAAAAAAAAAAAAAAAAAAAAAGAAAACAATTATATGTGATGGTTCTAATACGCTACCACGTGTGTCATATCTGGCGAACTGAAAAGAGACGCCTAGAACTGAGCTAAGCAAGAAGTGGGTAATAAAGTAGAAGAAAAAGAACCTATATAAAAAATATGTTATTCGACAGCATTTACTTTAATTGAATTGTACTTCTTACGTGCGTCAGTTGGATGACATTGTCGGAGCACCTTGATCCAGTTGCACCGGCTGTTTTCTTCATGTACTATAAACACTGAATGAAAGGCGAACACCGAACGCTGCACTATGTGAAAGCGATAAAACATCAGTGGAAAGGGGGCTGCGAAGCTATGCGCATCGGAAAAAGCAGTACTAAACACGATGTGATAAAGATCCGTTCACACACTTGCAACCGAGTACGACCGAAAGAAACAAGACCGGTATTTAAGCCTCTTGCGATGGCGTACGCCCTGCTCCGCAGCAGCGCATCTGGTCCTCCGCCGTCGCAAGAGGCACCGGTCTTGTCTCTCTCGGTCATACTCGGTTGCAAGTGTAGGAAATCGAATGGTGGTCCCCACCTGTAGTTCTTCGCGAAGGTGGCGCAGGCGAGCAGGCGGTGTTCGGGCCCGGCGTGCCTGGGCGCCAGACTCCAGGCAGCCAGGGCCCGGCCACGATCCCGGCGCCTCTCGCCCACGGCCCGAAGGAAGTTGCCCAGGCCCCGGGAGAAGAAGGCCTCGTCCGCGTCCTCCTCTTCCTCCATCTCGCTAAGGGAGATAAATTGAAAATATAACCCCCCGAAACCGTTTACAGTGCACAAAAAGTATACGCATCGCCGAATGCTCGGTCTCCGCCTTAAGTGTAGAGCTAACGGCCCGGCCCAGATGCCAATGTTTTAGAGCTTGAGACGTACCGTCTAATTCAAAAGGTGGAAAGTATTTTCGGAAAGTTTTATTGGGAAAATGGCGGCTAACGAAGGTCCGAGGATACACGAGGAAGAATGGCGTCCATTATGGGGAACGGTCCCAGTTTTCTCATTGAAAGTTTCCGAAAACCGTCTACGACTTTCGCATAAGAGAGCTATTAGTTCTGAAACTTTGGCATCTGCTACATCATGCTACATTTGACCAACGTGCGAGGAATTTGCGCCAACATTGCACCAAAACTTAATTTCACGTTAATAATAATACTGAAAGTGTATAATAGCTCAGGGCTCAGTACCCGGGCGAATCTTTACGATGGGTCGATTATCGCCTTACATATAACGTACTATTCGATTTGATTTCGTATCAAACACTGACAGTACTCGGAAGTTTCGCACTGATTCTCGTGTTCGTGGTCCGGTCTGGCGGTTCAGCTAATTTCGTTTAAGTTTCGTTGAGTGCGCTTCTGCGCCTCGCGCTGGTGTACTGGAGGGAAGCGACAACCACGGATTAGGCTTCGCGATTTTGCGCAACTCGCTTTGCTGCAGCTCACCCGCGTGCTAGGAGGAATGCAATCCTCCAAGGCGAGACGTGACAAAATTTACGAATAAAACTTCGGCGTGTGTGTAATATGACGGACTGCAATATCCTGGCGGTATCTTTTTCCAATTCTAGAGTTTGCGGGGATAGTTCGGTATTTCAATACGATTAATATTACAGACTCTTCTGTGGGTTTCTTATTTATGCCAACTCTTTCGTTTAATTATCACTTTTATATAGGTGGGAGTAAATGCGAACTAAATTAACAGGAGCAGTGAATGGAACGAGTTCGATGTTCACAATAAAGTGGAAAGTGCTTTTTTTCTTAGCTGAATTATAAATTACACTTTGTTTACAACCTCTAGAAATTAAAGGAAACGTTAATGTAGGTGCTTGTATTCTAGCATTATTTCAGTGTGATTTAGTACCTGAAATAACCATTCGCACCTGTTCATGCTGTCCTTTGAACCAGTCATCTTTTTCTTGCCGTGTCTGGTGCTTCTACTCGCTACTTCTGTGTTTTAGGGAATCGCTTCTGCTGTGAAATTAATGCTAATGAAAGGTTGCACATAAATGGGAAGGCGAAGTAGGCGTTGCCTTTTAGTTGGACAGGCCAATGCATCATAATATTTGCAGTGCTGTGAACGACAGTGAAGTGTGCGCTAATTATCCAAAAAGTTCTCTTTGCTGCCCTAAAACGGACTTTCGGCTTCTCCAAGAGTTGCCACAGAATGACTCAAATCAATCACACAACTGCATAATGAAAGATGAAGGTCATGACGTTGCGCTTTGGTGCTCTTTGATTGGTGCTACCGGTTCGGCTGCGCTCTGACTTAAAGCTGGATTGCTCCTCCCGAGTCGCACCAGTGGCGCCGATGGCGATCTTTGTTAGATCACGGAAACAAACTCAAGTTTTTGACCACTCCACGAGCCTTGTCCCGCAGAAGAATACGTAATAATTGTGTTGTGTGTATGCGTGTGTCTGTGTGTGTGTGTTTATACGACTGGAAATTAGTCTAGGGCGTCTGGTGTCTCAGCACTAGATGAGAAATTTAGCCAGTGCAGTACAACCGCTAGGCTGGGGTCTCCACGCAGTAGTGATACACGACCACACGCCGTTACGATGCTCATTCATATCGGAACGGGCAGGAGTGGGGATTGAGCCCAGGATCCCTGGGTTCAGCCGCGCGAACTTTCGCTCCTCGTGCTCCGAGCTGGTGTGCGCTAACCCACTCGGACACCGATCTCCCAAGAATACGTCGCAAAATTGGAAACGTCCAGAATCATTTTGAACACGAGAATTTCGGAAGGAAGAACAACTTGCCTCTCAACTTTATATCTAAAAAAAAAAAAAAAAAAAATGGCGGGAATTTTTTTTCGCTAGTTTTAGCGGAGAAATTTACCCATAATGCACCGCGCGGTTATGCAGACGTTCACGGCGACGGCGACGCCGGCGCCGCTCAAGCCGGAAACGGGCGCCTAAGAGCTGCGCTCTAAAAACTGGCTGCATGTTTGGTTTATTTGTTAAAAGCTTTTAAATGCGGTACTAGCTTTATAGGGAGGGGGATGTTCTTAGCTGGAGTGTAGTCTTTCGGTGCCTGGGTGTGGAAGGTGCTCTTATTTCAGGTGGCGCCTAGGGCGGAAATTTGTATGGTTTGCGTCGCACCCTTAAGCAGGAAGCGCGCTTTCCTTTCCACTCGTTCCGCGCGCTCTTTCTACACCAACTGTTTATGCTCCTCTCTTGCCATCCCCCCTACGCACGCTTTTTCACGCCACCTGCTTCTGGTCCTCCCTTTCCTACGTGTAGGGTCCGTCGCCTGGTTAGCAGCGCAATCCGCTTCCACGCCGATGACTGGGGCTCTATCCCTAACACCGGTTGCCTCTTTTTTTTTTTTTTTTTTTTTTTAGATCACAGCTTTTAGGCTTTTGTTTCCGGTTTGAGCGGCGTCGCCGTCGGCGTAACCGCACGTTGCATTATGGGACGTTTCCCATAATGACGCCACGAAGGTGACTCGTGAAGGTCCCGACGAAGGTCACGACCTTCACGAGGCCTTCACGAGTGACGTCACGAGGGAGGAGGGAGGGGAGGAGGAAGAGGAGAGAAGAGTGGGAGGAGGAGGGGGAGAGGGAGGAGCAGGGTAGGGGAAAAAGGATAAGGCACAGAGGAGGAGGAGGAACATATACCTCCCTCTTTATACCCTCTCCTCTTCCTCCTCAAGAGCTGCGTTCTAATCCGGCATTACATGGAACTGTAAACGTCTTTCATCTTTTTCCATGCTCGTTTAGTGGCTACCGGACTGACCGACCGACACATTTCGTCCTTACGCGGCTCCGGAGGTTGGTTGACCCTATTACGCTCGCGCTTTATACACTGTGTAACATTGCAGCGGAATTGGTATCCCCGAAGTGACCCGTCTGAACGCTTGTGCCCCATTTCCTCTAAAACATACTTGAGCCGCCAACACAAGGTCAGTGGAGAGCCCACGTATGCGCAAAGCTCTTTTCGAAAGAAAAAAATAATTTCGTTGCACATAGCTTTAGACTGAACGGAACAGTATGATGCTCTTCACCTGTTGGAGTCCGACTCCGAGGCGTCGCTGAACACGTCCGAAAAGGGGTCTCCTCCCGACTTGGGTCCACGTCCGTCGCCCGGTTCCTCCCCGACGGGCGTCGTAGTGGCCGAACACGCACTGCCGTGACCGCTGGTCTCTTCACCCGTCACCGTTCCGCCGTCGTCGTCATCCGGGCTGTCCCCTTTGCTGGTCGAAAGCTGCTTCCTACAGAGCGAGGCATGACACATCACGTAAAAAAGTCTCTATGATCGAAGGAAGGCATGTTGGAAATGTGTTTCAGGAGTGCGTTCATGCTTCGGTTTGCAGGCTAGTATCGCTCGCACGGTCGCACGGATAACGTACGATATATTGTGCTCGTCTCGAGAAATACGAATTAAGCGTATGTCTAGGACGTCCAGGGGTCCCCAGCCAAGATCCCCTTTTCTTTCTTTCCCCCGTAAACGTGACGCCCATGAAAACGCGCCAACCAGAGTGCCGAAATCGGCCCGAGGCTCTACGCGGCAAGCTTTTCCGAATGCCATCCGGGACCCGTATCTCGAAATTCGGTTTGGTTTGAACCGCGCGTATACCTGGAGCTCCAGGAGATCCAGACGCGGTCGTCCGGTTGGACGTCCTCTGTAGCCCGTTGTTCCCCGGCTGGATCGCCCTCGGCGTTGTCGTCCGCGTCGGCCTCGCCCTGCAACGCGAGGTCGTCTTCCTGACTGGAGCCGTAGTCGCGTTTCAAGGGCAGGATCTTTTGCCAGGGTTTGCGTCGAGGCTCCTCCACCGGGTTGTTGTTGATTTCTGCACCGGGTATCCAGGCGTCAATGCCTGCACCCACGATCGTCAACACAGAACGCAGAGACGCTCGCGCTTATTTCGTATCGCCCGGCTACCGTTTCGAACGCCTTTAGCCGGTGTTAAGTTGAAGCCAATAAGCCGTCCACATTCCCAGTGCCAATCTGCATCTAGTCAAACTGCTCGTACGTCGTACAAAAGACACGCTGTTCTCTGCAGAGATGATGACAGAACTGTCTGCGGACACTTATCGAGCATCTTCGAAATAAGCGGATTTGCTTCGTTCGAATTAAGCGGATTTGCTTTATTCGAGTTAAGCAGGTTTGCTTCATTCAAATTAAGCCGGTTCGCTTCGCACATGCTTCAATCACGTCAGCAGGCGGTTTTTTGAATGATCACGTTGACAGTCAAAAAGGAACGCCTCAGACAGTGTCTACAGACTGTCTTTTGTGCGATGCATGAGCAGCGTATTAGCACTGCGTGCTGCACCATGGTTCGCGTGAGACGAAAGGTCTGCGCATGCCCAGTGCCAACAGCAGCGCCACCGCAATAGCGTGACGTCAGGGGGTTGTGTCGGTGTATTGACGGCTCGTATTGACGTCACGTACGGGTGCGGCCTTCCTGCTGACCGCGTGCCTTCAGCGGCAGACTATTCGCACCACCGAATTTCGTTTTTCTCGGCGAAAACACTCTCAGAAAAAAAAAAATGGGTATAGCCTTACGTCTCGTTGTCCCATATAATACACCCCCAAAACTTCAGTTCGATGTATATAGCGCACCGACGTCAAACCGGCGGTACCAACTTTGACGAGCGGCTTGATAGCCGAGTGGTACAACTAATTAAAATAGCTAATGTACGTGTTTCTAACTAAAAAAAAACGTTTTTTTTTTGTGGCCCTACAGCAAAACCTCGGTGTTTTTTTTTTTGTTTTTTTTATCTGTAATCTTTGATACATACTTTACCTGTTTATTAACTTATGTCGCACCGCTAGCAAGCTCCCCGTAAAAGTTGGGGCCGTCAGTTCGATGTCAGTACGCCGTACATCGAACTGAAGTTTTGGGATGTATTTTATGGGACAAAAGGGTGTAAGACTACACCCATTTTTCGGAGAGTGAACAAGTTGGAATGACTACCAGCACGATACGATGTCGTCGTGTGCAAGCCATACATTGGCGGCAAGATATTTCGGTGGCGCCCTCTCGTGGTTCCTACGTCGTCACGATCCGGATTTCTTTCGACGCATGGTGTGATCCTTGCATCACATACTGAGTACAACAGTTGTTCCACGGTGTGTGTAAATATCACGGTAGAATCTCGCAGACGTCGCGTCACCAATTGCAACGCGTCGCTTACGTCGTCCTGGCGTTACGCCCATTTTCATTAATAAAACAACGACAAGTACAACCAAATACGCATTCCAGTGATGTCTCGTTAATATGGGTTCCCCCCAAAAAGGCGTCCATAATGAGAATTGTTCGTGAAAACGAGACAAAAATGCACGTATTCGATTTGTTCGTTCCCGAAAACTCCGTTTATACAGCAACGGGGTTTCACGGTTGTAGCAAGCTCTTTCTAATCGTGGTAAGCCGACTACGGCAAGTTTGTGGACTAGTGCCATCATATCGTGGTAACTGTGACTGATCTTGGATTTGTTATGCCGTGGCGCCAAATACTAATTAAATGTTGATTCAGAGTGACCTTCCACGTCTTGGTAAAATTGAATTGGATCAAATAGAACCAGAATATGGTAACTGCACGCAGCAAATTACGAAGTTAATATCTGGGTGCGCGGTTCCCTCAACGTGTTTGTCGGGGGGAGCCTGCGTTTCCGCTTCGAGGCAGACCCCGAATCGTGCGGAAGGAGCGCTATCGGGCCTGCGATAACGGTTTTCCCCAAAACCTCCTAATGTCCCTCGCAGCGCAGTTTCTGCGTACGGAATGCCAACGTCGTCTAACACGCGCTCGAGTAGCAGTGTCGTTCTATAGATCGTGTAGTTAAAGGACGCCCGACTTACCCTCGCGGCCATTCCTTTTACGAGCTCCCCCTGGATGAGGCAATTTCGAGCCTTCTGGAACGACGCCGGTTCGTGGAGGGGAGAGATATTACAGCAAATTATGCAACGCGCCATCCCATAACCTTTTAGGGTCGCCTCTGGAAACTATATCACGCGGACTGTGAAAAAGGCAGCGAGGGAATTGAGTCCAGCTTGACGATATGCAAGCTTTCCAGCGCATCTCACCGATTCGAAGAAAAGTGCCGAGTCACTGAGCTTGAACGCGTTCGGGGTTTGTGTTGTTCCACAGAAGAGAGCCACCGCATTCTCCTATATACCATTTTTTTACGGTTGTTACGTTGAATTTTGACCTGAGTTGGGCCAAAAATAGCGAGTCACTTCATCTGCCGATTGGAAGGCGCTGGAATTCAGGGGGTTCGTGCCAATGGTTCTACATTTTTTCTTTGCTATACTTTTTTTTCATTTTAGTTGTGCTTAAACTAGTTACTTTATTAGTTTGTTTTGTCGCCCAACCCAGCTACCTCGTATTTCACCGTGGAAACCGTCACACGAAAACGGGTCTAGAGGTTCTTTCCAACTTGACGTGAAAAGTAGCATAGAATCCGTTCCACAGCCCGATGCCAGAAGATGGCTGCGCGCGAAAAGGCGATTATTGGAATGGGTCTATGCGAGTCGATAGGAACCTCTTCGAGCTGCGCCGAACGTGCGGCATCACGGCGAATGTTGTCTTTACTCTGCGTACGCAGTGATGGGATTGCTGCACCCGATTAAATCGAAGCGCCTACCCTTCTGATCGGCCATTCGATTAATCGTCTCCTGCGCGCTGCCATTTCGATCAACTCGTCTGCGGAATACTGTCTGAGTACGCGCGGTAACTCTCTCGTGGAAAAAAATCGAATGATGGATATTTAGGCAGCGTTAACTTGGCATTCGAAATGAGAAAACTTGTATCTTGATTTCTATATAAGCAATTTGTCAGCGCAGTACGGCCGTGCATCGCGCATTAAATATTGTCAGCGCGCGTAGTATTTTTTATTTATTTTTTTTATTATTGTTCGATGGCTGTGCGTGTCAGTTAGCTTCGTTGAGTGCGCATTTCACCACGCACTGAAGCACTGCGGAGAAGTAACACCCGCGGAGCAAACCCCCTCAGGTTTGTATAAAGTTCAATAAACCTTATGCAGTACGGCGACCAAAATTTCGGAAATATTTTACTCTTGCCGAGCGTGTTACTATTATGTCCTGACGAGCTGCCTAGTGTTGGTGGTTTTTTGTGTTTGTTCCATTCGATATTTAAGAAAGGGTATTCGGGTGTAACGAGTTGACTGCTCTATGACGTGTTTGTTTTTTAGCCTACTTTCACGGCTTCATGTTTAGACCGCCAGGCGCCGTGAAAATCGGATTCGCTCGAGAAAGCTGGCAAGCGAGCCTTCCGTGACAGCTTTCTATCCTTGCCGCTAGGTGCGTTGATTTCGTTGACGTCGCCAATAACTGGTTTGCGCTATGAGTTTACTTTTCATGACGGATGCCCGTCTTTACTGGCCGCCCTATGCAAGCCTTCTGTTATCTGAGCGCACTGTCAATAAACAAATACATTTATAAATATTAAATTAGCTCTTTGAGTGAACGAATGAAAGCTGCCTTATTCCCGCGAGAAGATTTCACATCACCGTGCTTCTACTTTTGAAGTACGTCTAAGTTATTTCGAAGTTACTTCTACGTTGATTACTTCAAAGTAACGTAGGGCTGCGTAGTTTAGTGTTACGTTTAAAGTTCAATATCTTTCGCTTATATTGGTGCCCGAAATTAGCATAATTTACACGCTCACGCAATGTCCTTCATCATCCAACACGTCTTAAAAGCGTGACTCCCGTCAAAACATCGTTGTTGCCATGTCTTGTGCTAGCAAGCAAAACAGCTAGACTAGTTGAGTTGGGCAAAAAAGACAGATGTGCTAGTTGGGTGTTCGAAACAAACCTATGCCTCCTGGTCAACGAATGCTATACACCTATGAAGACGCACAGGAATGGGAAAGCACAAAATAAGTTTCATCTCAGTTTTTGTTTTGATATTCCTACTGCAACAGATGCAACGTCGCTTGCTCCCCGCTACCCAAAAGTCTTCTGAAGCTAGATGTGTGCTGCTCCTTAACTATTCGCGCAACTTTCTTTCTACTGCTACAGCGATACTCATAGACTTCACGCGTAAACTCGTGTGCGATGGGCGGGGTACAACGTAAAACCTATAGAGCGAGAAAACCGTCGTTTAAAACAAGCAACGCGCGCCTCTTTCGCGAAGGCCGGCAATTCAATTTCTCACGCCGAAGGTCAAACTGAGAGCGAGATGCAAAACAACATATACAGCGAAACAAAATTTACGAAAAAATAAAATAAAGAAGAGGTCATGGCGGGGTGGTACGAAATTGCCTCCATCGATCGGTTGGTTCCGCTTTTTGCGGATGCTAAGCGCGCGTGTCTCTCGTTCGTGTAATCCCGAGTTTTGAAACATACAAGCCGATCCGCGTGATGGATAGAGAGAGAGCGCCCTCATGTGAATTGATGGCGATCGTTCGTCGTAAACTGCTTTTCTTGCATCGGTATGCTTTGGCTGTTGCTTGTTAGTTTGAGGAGTGCGGCGGACACTCCTGGTACGAGCGCGATAATAATCCAGGACGAGGTGAGGCTCGTGCGAGCCTCGTGATGAGCGATGGACAGGATTTAAGCAATTTTCTTTTTTTGCTTTAAGCGTGTCAGTAGCACGCTGCCCGACGTGTTGGCTGCGATGCTGACGCGAGCTATGGGTGGTGCTAGGTTGGTGATCCTCCGGTGATGACGTTTGGGGGGCTAAAGGCCCTCCAAACGCCGGCACATCGTGCCAGATGCTCCGTACTTACTGACCTTGAACCGGTTTCGCCTCCGTGTCGTGTTCGTCCGAGGAGTCCGGGCTGGTTCTGGTTTGCTGGTGAGCGCGACTGGTGTTCTCCCACTCCTGGATGATCTCTGTCGGTAGACGAGGAGACAAAGAGCCGACCACAGTGACACTCTGAACACCGCGAAAGTTAAACCAAAAATGCGACCTCAAAAAAAAAAAAAAAAGAAGCAAATTTGGGAATTGTTTATGCGCCGCACGAGGTACTCCTTACAAGATTTGGTTGACGAAGCAAAGGGCGATGCTTTTGGCGTTTGGAACGTGTACGTCTTTATAAGATAACATGTATCTAATCTAAAATGTGCCTAGGTATATCTTAATTTCCCAGTAAAAGGGGGAAATTGTAATGCTCCACGAGGAGCCGGACCTTTTTTACTACGGTTCAAAAAGACTCGATTGAGAAAGTCAACTTGTTTCTTTATTTGCCGGATCACACTCGTGCAGGTGCTAATTGTCAGGCTTGTCATTTATTCACGTTTTTTGTTGTCACTGTCTGCTATCAGTTTTAATTAATTGACTTGCATTTGACTTTCCGTCTGTTTGTAGCCAGACTCTTTGCCGCTTACAACATGTAGTCCAGCCTAGAACGTGCGCATACATTGTAGTCCAAAACTGGAGCCGACGCCCCTTGTTGTGTAGAAGCTTTGATTTTTTACGATTCTATTACTACTCATCATACAAGCTGTACGTGTTGACAGCAGACTTTGGTGGTGTTTAGTTGACTGTGGATTGACAGCCTCAGGGACGTGTTTGAAGAGAATGACGTCAGACGGGCAGCACAGCATGACAAGACTCAGCACTTCGATGGTTTTCTGCGCTGTCGCGTTGCCTAGCGTCGTCTCTTGTGTCATACGGTATTGCGTAGGCTCGTTTCCGGCATAAGGGTTTTGAACGATCTCACTAACAAAAGCTGACCGCGTCACGTTTTTGTTGTTGTCACTTTTAAATGTTAACATGCGTCGCTAAGGGCGTATATTAAAACTGTCCCGAGTTACAAGTACAAAAAGCTTACGCCGTTCAAAAAGAAATATTTTGCAGCGGATGTAACGTAAGCTTTGGATAGATTTGGGGAAACCTTTTAGGAGACATTGCGTGGATGTCAAGGTACAAACACAGGACATCGTCGTTTGATACTGCTTCGACAATAAAACCTTCAACACACACACGCACACACGCGCACGCACGCACGCACTAATAAAAATTCAGTTTGACGAAAAAAAAAGGGGGGGGGGGGGGGCTAAGATAAAAAAGCTGCAGTGCAATCCACACACATTTTGTAAACGTCCTTGCGACGTATCGACTAGATGTATTTTGAGGGCAGTGAAGCCAGGCTTTAAACGTCTCCGAAATGGAAATAGGCATCGCCCCCCCCCCCCCCCCTCCCTTTTCTTCATCGACTTGAGACGTTTCCTTGTCTCCTCTCGGAAGTTGGTTGATTTAAAGAAAAGCGAACTCCATCGCCGTCTCGGCGACGGGTCGGCTCCGACGGTTCAGCCCTTTATGTGTCCGCGACGCTGCGGAGTCAGTCGTCCTATTTCTCCCCTCATCCTTATATCTGACGCGTCATAAATCGTCGAAATTTGTAAGTAGTAGTTCTCCCTCCCGCTGCAAGGAGTAACATGGATGAATAGGAATAGAGCGAACCGTGCTCGCCAAGTTAGAAAGGGAACTTTGACTCCAAAAGACCCACGAAACACTTTTTTTTTCTTTAATTTTTAAATTCGATTATTTGTTTTTTAGAGCATAAACACTTCCCGTTCTTAAAGCATAGAGCCGGAATCTTTGTTTATTTACACATCTGTTGTTTTACTCGCCTAATGGGGAAAGAAGGTGCCCGTTTAAAAGAAGCGAGTCAAACATACTTTTACGTAAAGATGCTTGATCTCATAGTTTCAGAAAAGAAACGTCTATCTCCGCTTCTTGTATTTTTATGCGTTCCTTGCCAAACTTGAGACAATGTGGCTTCCTAGACTCATCCTAACGCCATCGCACTTTAAGTTATTTCAAAACTTGAAATATAAACTGACATCGTGATTCTTCCGATTTCACAAAATAAATAAAAAAAAAATTAAAAAAAAAACAACGCCGCTGGTAGTTTTAAGAGATAAACTGAGTGATGTGCCATGTCTTGAGGTATCGCGCGGGTGGACTGAAGGCTCATCTGCGGGAGAATGCCCAATTGACTTGCTGATGGCGGCCGCGGACGCCGCGCTATCGCCCCATCCCTCAAATTTGAAAGTCTATGCGAGATCGCAGCGCTGCCTGGCTGAGGAATATGTCGCGAACCTGGCGGGTTCGAGTTCGAACAGGTTCGACTTTTTCGAACTCCTTACTTCGACTTTTTCGAACTCCTTACGAGAAGTTCGACTTTCGTGCGCATGCGCGAAAATTGGAAAGCGAGCTGACGCCATTTCGCGGAGGGAAAGAGCAACATTTGTTTGGTTTGTTGTTTTATTGTCTCGGATTAAGGAACTACCTAAAATCATTAAAACTACACAAGGTTCTTCTGCGAATGCTTCCAAACATCCGTAACAATAGGGTTCTTGAGAAAAAAAAAAGAATAAGAAACTATTTTTGGGAACAAACAACCGGCCATGGCGCGCGCCAGGGTTGGCAAAAAACAAATATACTAATGAGCAAAATAATTATCTTGAGCTTACTAACTAATGTTGTATTAAAGAAAATGAACAAATGGTTTTAATAAAAGACTTGTTGAGCGTCATCGAAAGCTCCTAAATCAGTTAATTTTAGCATGACCTGAATCAACTGGGAAGCTCGGAGGTTCGCTAAAGTTACGTCTTGTGAAGCAGGCACAAGGGCGGTGTTATGAAAACGAGTCTAATAAGAATATATCGCCTGGTTTTATATTGTGTAAACCTAAATGGTCATTTTATAAAATATAAAATACACAACTTTTTTTTTTAATAATTTGTTTCCCAAAGTTTGAAAGTTTCGGGATAGTGGTCGAGCAACACTGTTCATAAGTCGCGTGCGTTTTATCGGGTCTTGCGTGAAGTCGACTTCGCGAGGGGCGGCTTTCCGGCCTTGCACTGAAACCGCAACTACCGAAGCGTCCGGAAATTGGATATTGGAGTCGATAAGAAAGCCCACTGAACGTTTTTTGCTCTTCATTCTGTAAGCGGAATAGAGATATGCTTATCGTTGTTTGGAAAAAAATACTAGTCGGATCATTACGCGTGATTGCGCAAAATTCTAGCGTTCTCCGAAATCGGTAGTTGCTCATTTAATGGCCAGAAAAATCGACGGGTAAAATAAAAAAGGAACAATGGAAGGATATCTTGCCTTTTGCTAACTTGTAATCAGAGCAAAACATTTTTTTTTTTTAAAGCGTGTTAGCTTTCGAATGAGGTTTACATTTTTCTTTTCTTCTTTATCAAGTACGTCTTCCCAAACATTTCGAGTGAATAATGTCATTGATCACGGATTACATTAAAAAGACAGCAAACCAACATCATCTGCTATGACGATAACGCAATTAATGCGAAAGTGAAAGCGAACTGGACAAGAATGACGATAAGGATAAGGACAAGGACATTGGGCGCGTTCGATTTAGAAGAATGTGCAGAAAAAGTGTAGGGGTAGGGCAGGGTCCGTGTATTTCCGGTATAGGACTGGTCCTGCCGGCGTGTCGCTGGTGCAGTTCCGCTGCTTTGCCCAATCGAATAAAAATGCACTTCCTCCTCGCGCTGTCGTCTGCTATCGTCGTCTGCTATGAGGCACTCGCCTACACCGCCAATACGAGCGAGTGCAAAAAGTGTACGCCAGGTGTAGAAATGGTGCTACACTTTTGCAAATCGAACAGAGCGGTACAGACCCTCAGGGCTCCTCCCTCAAATCGAATGCGCTCGAAGCTGCACTTCTGCACCGGTGCAGGGGGTGTGGGTAAATTGAACGCGCCTAATGATAAATGGCTGTGCTTGGAGATTTGTGTTTGTCTCCTGTCTCCCTTGTTCCCCTTCTCCAGGGTTTATTATTGTTGTCACCCGCTACTTGTTAGCAAACGCGACGACGGTTTCGATCAATATGAAAACGTGGCATAAACGTTGGCCTCTCACTACTAGCCTGATGGCGTGGCGTATGTAATATTTTATGGCCATTCTACCTTAATGCCCCCCCCCCCCCCCCACACACACACACACACACACCAAACAAAAAGAGATATTTGTATATATACATTTATCGTACTTCCGCTTTCTGGGCTACTTGCCTACGAAGCAGCTTGAAACAGTCGCTGCTGGGAGCCGCTATGAGCTGGAAAAGCCAACTTCTTTGCTATGTATATTGGACATCACGACGTAAGTAAATGACTTTGTTTCCCAGTTGACCTTAGATGCCGGAATAATAAAACTGAAATCTCCATAAAACAAAGCGTATAAAGAACGGTTTGGGACAGTCACGTTTTAATGCTTAGCTTTTTTTTTAAACCTTTTTTTTTAACGTTTGCTTTTACGAAGCTGCAACAAAAACTGCATTCCTTTCCTTTCTCTAAAAAAACGAGGCTGGTCTACTCATATTTCACCTTCAGGCATTCTTTTTTATTTTTATTATTGCCATCGTTTACTAAACTTTTGCGCTCACCCGTATATATCACGTTTCGGAAGTTTTGACTCACGGTAAGACTTCGTTTCATCCGCGTTCAATTTCACGCCGATCGGGAAGCGCAGTCACGTCCTAGCGAACCAGTGAACGTCGAACCTCTTCCTCCTATAGCTTCCCTAATATCCAGCAAAAAGATACGGTTTATATGAAAAAAAAAAAAAAAAAAAAACGGTTCGCGTTGGAGCGAGTTTTGAAATTTCTCGGTCTTACCACGGCCCTTCCCGAATAAAATAAGGACACGCTGCTCAGGACACGAAGACGAGGATGATAAAGGTTGATCGTAAATGTGCCGGAGAACTCGCCCCCCCCCCCCCCCCCCCCCCCCCCTTGGCAAGCGACGGGGTTGAGTAGATTATGTTCGGTTATCGTGGCAGGTACGGTTTATGTACCGGAGGCGGCTGTACCCGGTGTGACACTGTGGGAAAGCCAAAATATACACGTAATTTTGATTTATTTTTATTAGATTTCCGTAAGCATCGATTTTATGGTCTTCCTTTTCTTACCAATAAACGTCACCATCTATCGTGAACACGTAAAGTGTTTTTGTCACGTTTGAAAAAAGAAAGAGTGATTTTAGAGCTAAGCGTTGGAATATTCTTCCAATATTTTGCCGTCCAAAACATTATTCTTTTCCAAATCGCGTACAAATGCAGAAAAAAGAACTCAAATTAATATTAGAAGACCAGAGTGGAGGAACGTGACGTCAGAGATTCGTGCAGTTGCCCCAAGGCGACAACGATTGAGCGGAGGCTTCGGGCTCGAAAGGCAATGACGGGAAAAAAAATAAACGGAGAAAAATCGGAGGTCTCCAGGCAAAAGTTATCGGGGCTGGTGGTATCATACACCGAAGGAAGAATAAAGCGCCATTATTCTTTTTCTTTGTCGCTGTCCGTAGGGCGAAGAAGCACCGCCGTCGCACGAATCGTAACTTTCGTTTTGTGAAGAACGCTAAATGAATGAGACGTAAGCTTAGCAGCGATATGGAATTTTCTTTTCTTTACGATTCTCCTTTAAATCCGAAATATCGGAGATTTAGCGAATTGTCGAGAGTAGAACCTTTCGCTAGGTGGCGCGAACTGCCGCCCGATTCAGAGGATTCGTGCGTATCTACCTATCCATCCTCCCCGAAACAAAAGCTTCGAGTTGGAGATTGTAGGCTCGTTCGTACCCGAGGCGTCCCTGAGGAGGAGCACTGTCCTGGCGCCCTCGGCACAGAGGGTCCTGTACAGGGCCTGAGGACTCTGGTTGTGCCCCGGCAGACAGGTGGAGTAGAGCGCTACTGCTGCGTGGAGGAGCTCCAACTGCGTCTGCGTGGGAGGAGACGTCGAGAAACAGAGTTAGGAGCTGCGCTCACAAAGAGGTTCAGGTATAAAACGCTTTATTCTAGCCATGTTTGTTTACGTGTATCGCTGTTGCTAAAGACCAGGTCACACGACGCCACAGGAAAACCAACTTTCGTCATCCGCGTAACACCGACACAGCTTTTTTTTTTTTTTTTCGGTACGGAATGTTTTGTTAACGTGTTTTTAGTGACCAGTTTTTTTAGTTTTCATGCGTCGGTGAAGGCTACTCTCAAAGATTTTTTTGCCATAGTCTTGAAGCTTTTTTTTTACTTGTTTGTTTGTTTGTTTGCTTCAGAAGACGGTGGAGTTCCTACAATCCATTTCCTAGTCCTTTCATAGATGGCCCAAACTATCGAACCGACATCGTAAAAAACACACACAAAAAAAAAAAAAAACATTTTTTTTTTTTTTTTTTTTGTTAAACTGTAACCCGACACTTTGAACCTAGCTCACGTTCGGAACGCCGCAACATACCTCCTTAAATTCCAAACATTTTCCGTTCTCGTTTTTTTCCCCTCTTTTTTAAGGAAACAAACAGCAAGTTTAACAAACCGTGTTTGGAGCATCGTCTTATTGGATTACAGGGCGGGAGAAACACACAAAAGGCGCGTCTCGAGACGCATCTGTCCCGAGCGAGCGCATGGACGTCAAAGCCTCGCCGTTCTCTACGCTTATCGACCGGCTCGAGTTTCCGTTCAAGTAGTCATACGTGCGCAAACTGTTCCGGCATAGATACACGTGGCACCACATACTTTATAGGGAAAGATCCCGGGCTGGCGGTCGCGTCGCCACCTTTTCCCTCCTTTTTTTTTTTCTTTTTTAGATAACAATGCGTCAATGTGGAAAGCAATTTGAGCCGCTTGGGAAACGACGGGGTCGTTCAAAAGTTCTTCATTGTGCGTACGTGCCGAGAAACATATATCTGCACAACCCCCGCATAAGCTCACACATAGAACGTTTTTTCATTCTGCTAGAGAATAACGATGTGCCGCAGGACGTACGTCATCCTTAAAGCTGTTACCTACGCACTAACTGCTCTTTCTTTTCTTGCGCGGCTTTGTTTACTTTGATTCGAGAGGCCGTTGATGCAGAATGAATGTACGCTTCTGTTTTTATACAACCGGTAAGTTCGGATATTATTGTTTTTCTTTGTTTGGCCCCGAATAGTTTTGTTGTTTTGGGATTCCCGATCATGGGGAAAGAGCTTGGCTGTTTAGGGAAAAGTTGTACGCGCCGTTTCGACGCCAAGACCATTCATCACGTTCCCGATAGGATAGGAGCTACGCAGTTACTGGTTATCGCAAATGCGCGCCATTTGTTGTTTTATTTTATTTTACTTTTTGTTGTAGAAAGTTTGGAACGTGGATAAATACCTTCTCTGAACTCGATCCCTAGCCACCCATCCATCGTACCCCCAAGAGAGAGAGAGGAACGGAAAAAGGATAGGGGGAGTTTCCGAGGAACATAACTTCTCTTCTCAAGTCTGGAAAACAGACAAAGATACCAGGAGTCTTGCTAAGCCTAACGGACGATGTAAGCTAGCGATGGTCTTCGTGACTTGGTGCAGTTACTTGCACCATTGAGCTCGGAGGTTTCGGTTCCCTTCAATTTGGGGTCCGAACCTCGCTGATAAATGGGATGGTCTTCCCGAGATCGGCACCAAAATCGGAAACGTTGCTCGGGTGCACCGAACTTGGTTCTGTTCCCTTCCACTTTGTTTTTCTTCACCGGGAGAAAAAAAAGCAGACGACGGGTTTCTCCACGGGTCGGTAGACGAAAAAGAAACAAGCAGACAACACAGTGTTCCCAGATCAAGTAGAAGAACGCGCTGGAACAAAACAATGAGCATGCCGGCGATGGAGCATTCTTAGAGTTAGCAGACCTGGCAGCTAGAAGAAAGCCAAACGGCTTCGTATTCCTCAAGCTAGAAAACGAGGCATATATATATATATATATATGTATATAAAAGTAAGACGCACAGTATTCTTGCAGTAAAGCAGACGAGGGCAGCAAGAGCAGACGACACGCAACGTCCGACGACGAGAATGAATGTGCGAGAGTTCACGAGAGTCGCTTTCCCTTCCGTTTTTTTTTTTTTTTTCCTTTATTTTTCCGATCTGTTCCCCTCTTGCAAGATATCTTGTTTTTGTTCCGTTTTTTTTTTGTTTGTTTCTTGTATGTGCTCTGAGAATGTGCTCGGATCTGTACCATCATCCGTCTTCGTTTGTCCGTTCTTCGCGACTTTTCTGAGTGGCCTTTTTAACGTCTTCGCGGTGCTGTGTACTTCTTTTTTTATAGTTTCCCTGTCAGCGGTCCCCACAAATCGTCCACTTTTTTTTTTCTTCTTCCCTTTGAGCGTTCTAATTACCGGACGCTGTCGTCCTTGCGTTCTTTGGGTCGGCTTTTTCTCATTTCGATTTTTCGTCTGCAATGTTAGTTTTTCCTTTTCCCCTCCTTCCTTCAATGGGTCCCTACTAAAAAAAGAACTCTAATCTAGGGGCTTTTTTTATGTACGACAATACAAGTTTTGAATTACGCGGGTCAGTCGACCGCCTAGAGGACAGGGACTTCGCATCACGCCATCGTTTGCGCTTCGCGTCATACGCCTTAAGGCCCAACCACAGAGGGCGTATTCTGGACGTATTTACGGGCGTTTCGGGGGACGTAATCCAGACGTACAGAGGGCGTCGAGACGAGCGCAATTCCTCGACTCTTCGAGGTCGGCGTAAATACGCGCGTATTCGGCGATCCGACCGAGATAGATCTCGGCGCTCCGGCGTATTTCGGCGTGGCGTATCCAAAAGCGTGCGGCGCGGTGCTGCCCAATCAGCACCCGAGTTGACAAGCGGAACTGGCTCGAGGAATGGCTTATGCTTAGCTTTGCGGCCGGCTGGCTGGCTTGATTCAACCGCCGAAATGGGCGCTCGCTTTTCGCGTTCGCCGGTTTATGGGCGAACTGTACGAAATCAACGAGCGATGAACGATTGAAACAGAAGAAAAGACCATCTATGGGGGTAGCGGGCGATATGAAAAAAAAATATATATATATCAGGGTGTCGAACCGGAACCGAACCGAACCGAAAACCGGAACCGAACCGGTATTTTTTCCGGAACTGAACCCGAACCGTTATATTGTTATCGCGATGAACCCGAACCGGAACTGAACCGGAAAAAAAATAACGGTTACCGGCTCATGTCAAAACGGTTCGGCCACGCGCTGTTGACAATGAATGTGCTATCAATGCCATTTGTTTTTTAAGTGCCGTCAACTGACACACACCTCGCTTACATATTTTTCTTCTCCACTCAGTCTTAGGAATATAAATGCTGCATCCATGAATCTTGACAAACGCTGCATCCATGAATCTTGACATAGGAACCAGTATTGCGCTGGTCGCGGCTTGCATGGAAAAAAAAAAATTAGAAGGCTGTGCAAAAAAAAAAAAAAAAAAATCGCGTCACAAGATTTCATTTTCCTACAATCTCGTAAATCCTAAATGCTGCTGCGTGCTCATTTCATAACACGTTTCTAGAACGCGCGAGTTCTTGAAGCTTGCTTCCATCGGAATGAGAAAAGAAAAGGCTGTGGAGTTTGATAATAATGCATCCGGTTTCGTATAGGCCCTTAGAAGCTAACATATTTGTGAGACAGCGAACTCTTCTATTTTAATATTTATCCTATTACGTCATTCTGGCGTTGCGTTCGGTGAAGTGTTTTTCATATTCCGTATCTTGTTTAATGAAAAAAGGCTATTTCAATTAAAGAAAGCTGTATTTTCTTCCCACTGTTCCTTCAATTGCTTACACGCCGAGGTGGCGGGATAGTTAGCGAGTTCTACTTGTAATTGGGTTTGTAAGGAGGTCGCGGATTTTACAGCTACTGCGTCGGACCCCATTGGATGAAGTCCGAATGCGTAAACATCGGTGAGGTAACCTTTGAGTGCACATAAAGAAACCATTCCTGGTAGAAATCCCTGAGCCTTACACTACGATGTATCCCGTTTCGTATGTGCTGATTTCAGATGTTTTATTTGTAATTTATTTTGTTGTTGCAATTTGTCAATTATAATTTCCAAACCGGTTCGCGAACCGGTTCAGCGTCCCGAACCGGTTCGCGAACCGGTTCGCGGATCGAATTAATCGAACCGGAACTGAACCGGAACAAAATAAATTTACCTGAACCTGAACCGTAACCGAACCCGTATTTTTTTCGGTTCGACACACTGATATATATATATATATATATATATATAAAAGGAAGGATTTTTAGCAGAGATCCCGGACGTCCTCTTGCCGGCACTTGTTAACAACCTCGCGATTGCAAGGTACATTTTTGAGACAAGCGATAGCAAATTAAGCTTTCGTTGCTGATTAACGTTCAGTGATTTCTGTCTCCCTGCGGAAGGCGATAATGTAGCAGTCGTTTACATTTTGCCTGTTACATAAAAGCGCGGTTGGGCCACACTGCATCAAACGCCGACGAAAAGCGCCGCCTTTGGTTTGGTTACCTTCCCCTGTTCCGTCCTGTGAAAAAAAAAAGAAAAAAAAAAAAAAAACCAATCACGGCTAAATGCCGTGATTGCGCCCACTGAATCGCGCGTTAATTCCCTATGTGGGTCGGCATTCACGCGCTAGTTCGCTCCGTAAGGAAATATTGGGCCCCTGTAAAGGATGCTTTTCCTTAATTAAAGTCCTGGAAAGGGAAAGCCCACTTGCAGGTTCCTAGAGGGCTTACCCGTAACTGTATGCGCTGGCGCGGACCTGGCGTTTTGATTTAGCGTATGATTTGCTCGCAAGTGTCGTACAAAGAGGACGCTGGATGGACCTAGGCGCTATCGCGATAAGCCATGACATCACTGCGCACGAAAAAAAATAAATAAGCCAGAGTGTAACCACCGAATAGGGCAGGGCACCCTGTACGAGGTTGCTTTCCATACCCTGTGCGAGGCATCAGAGCCACGTCT